GTGCTCTTGGCACGGACGTCCTAGAGGACAGGCAGGAGGAGTTACAGTGTCTAGCGGCTGCTTCACCTCATCTCGCGTCTGTACTGCTTGCCCCTGAGGGAGACCCGGATGCACTAGACATCCCGACTCCGCGTTCTTACGCGGAGGCCGTAGAGGGTCCCTACTCCTCTCAGTGGCAGGCAGCTATGGATGCAGAGATGGCTTCCTGGAAGTCCACAGGCACCTACGTTGACGCGGTTCCCCCTCCTGGGGCGAACATCGTCAGTGGCATGTGGATCTTCAGGGTGAAGCGGCCGCCGGGCTCTCCACCTGTCTTCAAGGCACGGTACGTTGCTCGTGGCTTCAGTCAGCGGCAGGGAGTTGACTACTTTCAGACCTTCTCTCCCACCCCGAAGATGACTACTCTTCGGGTGCTGCTGCACATAGCCGCTCAGCGCGACTACGAGCTTCACTCTCTCGACTTCAGCACTGCGTTCTTGCAGGGTAGCCTGCACGAGGAGATCTGGCTTCGCCGTCCACCTGGCTTCACTGGGACTTTCCCTCCTGGCACCCAGTGGAGCCTCCGACGGCCAGTCTACGGTCTCCGCCAGGCACCGCGTGAGTGGCACGACACACTGAGGACTACGCTTGCGGCTCTTGGGTTTGCTCCTTCTACTGCTGACCCGTCGCTGTTTCTTCGCACCGACACTTCCCTGCCGCCGTTCTACATCCTCGTGTACGTCGACGACCTGGTCTTTGCCACAGCGGACACTGCTGGACTCGCCTACGTGAAGTGCGAGCTGTTGAAGAGACACACGTGCACAGACCTGGGTGAACTGCGCAGCTACCTTGGCTTGCAGATCACTCGGGACAGAGCACGCCGCACCATTACCTTGACTCAGTCACACATGGTGCAGCAGGTCCTTCAGCGCTTCGGCTTCACGTACTCCTCGCCTCAGGCCACTCCTCTGCCTACTCGCCACTCACTCTCAGCTCTGCCTTCGGATGAGTCCGTAGAGTCGAGTGGTCCGTATGCGGAGCTTGTTGGCTGCCTCATGTACCTGATGACCTGCACACGACCTGACCTTGCATACCCTCTGAGCATTCTTGCACGCTATGTTGCTCCTGGGAGACACAGACCGGAGCACATGGCTGCAGCGAAGAGGGTATTGCGCTACCTGTGCAGTACGTCACGCATGGGGCTAGTGCTTGGAGGGCGGAGTCCAGTGGTCCTTACCGGCCACGCGGACGCTTCTTGGGCTGACGACCAGGCTACGCAGCGGTCGTCACAGGGTTACACCTTCAGCCTTGGTTCCGGCTCTGTCTCGTGGCGGTCTACTCGCTCGTCTTCGGTTCTCGGCTCCAGTTGTGAGGCTGAGATCTACGCCGGGGCCATGGCTGCACAGGAGCTTCGCTGGCTCACCTACCTGCTGACTGACCTTGGAGAGCCGCCTCGTTCTCCTCCAGTGCTGTACGTAGACAACAAGGCTATGCTGGCCTTGTGTCGAGAGCAGCGCTTGGAGCACAGAACGAAGCACATTGCTCTCCGCTACTTCCTTGCTCGTGAGCTGCAGCAGCGTGGTCAGTTGCGACTTGCGTACGTGGCCTCTGAGGCCAACACTGCTGATGTGTTCACCAAGGCACTTGCGCCTTGTGACCATCAGCGCTTCTGCACCCAGCTGGGTCTTGTGCCTGTCTTGCCTCACTTGCTCTCCTCTTGACTTCACTTGTACTGTGACATATATATATACTTGCTCTTGCTTGTCTAGCTTTATATATATGTCTGTACTCTTGCTTGTGAACTGGCCTTTGGCCTTGCTCTTGTGCTCGGACTGTGTGGTGACTTTGTGATCCACCCTGAGCTTTGCTTTGTCTTGCTTGACTGGTCTTGTGACCCCTTGTTCTCCCCCACTTTGCCTATGGGGGTGTGTCAGAACATATCTATAGCTTATACTGCTGTGTAGGCTGTAGTGGGGTATCCCATAGGGGGTACAACCCAGTTAGGGTTTCATATTTGTACTGCTTTCATTCATAGTTCATTTCATTCCTGTTTTCCTATTTTCACAATAATAACCTCAGATTGTCCAAAGATAGGCAAGAAGATGATTTAATGACATTAAGGAGCTGTAGATTTTTTTGCAAAGTTCAACCAAAACTTTGCCTTTTTTTCATGAATTTTGTTAAATCGAATAACAATGAGAAAATTTGATGCGCTGCTAAGAAAACATTCTAAAATATATGCTTATCATGAACTAATATAAGTTTAACTCTAAATGTTATTTATTCCCTTTATGCACAAGCACGTTTGTTTTTTTATAGTTTTACTTCATGAGAAAATGCATGAGATATTTCAAATTGTATTATTATTATTATTATCTTTCTAATATTTTCACCACTAAGTAAGTTCCACAATATTTATCAATCGACCGCTCATTATATTTTTGTTGGTGTTTCTATGATACTTATAGCACCCAGTTTATAAATACAGATTAGGAGGCTGTATTACGAAGTTTTAACTTTTAGAGCTTGTATGGTGGTATAATAAACCAACATTCGCATTCTGTAGACTATCCATACGCAGTCGATTTCCGTTTCGCTGAGTCAAACCTTGAGTGTACGGTGTATGGTTCGGTTGAAACGCTAAGCTACTAGTTAGGAATGTCGGATGCACTGTAACGTTACCTTTTAGGAAATAATCCCGACTTGTTAGGCATGCTGGTTACCACCGTGGCGACGACAGGATACGTCTGTTGCGATTTGGACGCGTGACGTCTTTTGCGTGCAATTGACCTCAAGAAGTGTTACTGCGGAGGTAATTGCTCTATGGCAAAGAGGTGTCGAGCTGGAGTGCACGATAATTCTGCGATTTGCCATCGTCATCATGAATCGGGAGTCATGTTGGCTGCCGACGTGTCACACGAAGTTACCCGCGAAGGAGGAGCTCTCGCCGCGACACACACATTAGGACGCGGTACAAGTGCTCGATCGGTGCGGGTTTCGATGCGGTCACCGTACTTAAACTTCGCTTTGTACATACGAATGGTACACAACCGTTTACAAACGCGCTAAACGACGAACCTGAGGCGATCGTCGTTACTGCAGCAGCAGAAACGACACTTGCTGATCATTGTCTTATTATTTTCCACTCTCGTACTAGGCACCAGCGTTATGTGTTTTCCATATGCGTCTATGGCTTTGTCTGCCGTGGCAACTCAAGTCTCATCTCAGTCGCTTCCAATACCAATTCATCCCATCCCATGGGTCGACGTGGAGGAGCGTCGCCCCGTCGTCCGACGATGACCGCACTGGTCGTCGTCGTCGTCGCGCGACGTCGGGTCGCGCTGAGTCATCTCAGTGGCGCTCCCGGCTCCACGCGCATCACACGCGAGGCCTCCTCTTTGTTGGCAAGAGCCAATAGCTACCTTTTGTCGTCCGCTGTGGCAGTGGAGGCAGTGGAGGCTCTTTGTTCGCGCTGTGTCCTCGCAATTGCCAACACGGCGCAAGCAACGGGCGACATGGTTTAGCTGAGATCCACCATCTCATGCTCCACCACTTCCATCGTCCCGCAAGTTGCAGGCCCATTTCGAAACACCGTGACCTCCAAGCCCAGTCTAGTTTCAAAACGCGGCTGAAAACCTCCCTGTTAGTTGGTTGATTCTGTGTCCGCCAAGGCGTTTCACCACAGTCAAGTTTCGATTGGGAGTGCAAAACTTGGAAACGCAGGCTCAGTTTTCCTGGCGCCGGCCCGAGCAAAGCAGCCGTGACAGCAGCTTCGAGAGTTCTCAGAAGAGCCAGAAGCGCATGCACAGCCGGTGCCGCTGCCGGAAGTGACTCCACTGCCGCTGCATCAGCAGCCGTCTGCACGAGTCCGTCACCCTCACCACTCCTCCACTGCAGTCGTTGCTCAGCTTTTGCACGTCTTGCCCTCCTTCTTTCCTTCTGGAGAGTCATGAGCGACCAGCGCAGCTTCTCCTTCCCTCCGCCGCTGCTGCACCTCCGCCTGCCGCTGCTGCTGCTGGCGGGGCTGCTTCTGCTGCCGCCGTGCCCTGCTGCCGCCACTCGCATCAACGACGCGCAAGGTCGCTCGCCCCTCCCCCTACGTGCACCTCCTCGCCTCTCACTTTCCTCCACTCTACCAAACTCCCCTCTTTCCCTCCTGATATCTCCAACTCTCCCCCTCTTACCCGCTGTACCCCATCCACAGCCTCCTCCTTCCCGCTGATTTACCTCCCTCTCCCTCAACGTCCCTTTCATTTATAGTCCAGAAAACTACAGACATGCAGGTGGGAACGTATACATCCTAGCAACTACATCCCTCAGTCTCACGAGTGCTGATTGGGTCGGTGATAGTCCCATCACAAACCCATACTGCCCTGAGGACCAATCCCGGACTGCTAAATTCGCCTTGCGATTTTTGAGAATTCTCAAAAGTCACACCAATATAGTCCGCCTTGCGGTTGTCAACCGAGCAGAAAACCGTCGTTTCTTTGTGCACGATGAAGCCGGCGTCTTGCACCATTCGAACACACTCGTCCCTGAGTTCGTTGTGAGTGTTTGTTCTTTCCCCCCGCTGCTATGCTCCCTCGCTGCTATTCCTCTGTTCTGGCTTCGTCCACACCCCAATGAACATGCACACTGCTCACTCAGTACCCAACCCGCCCCCCACGCTTCAACCTCCCTTCCCCCTACCTCCCTCAGGGAGTCCCTCCTGCCTCACCCCTGCCTCACCCCTCGCTTCTCCTCCTCTGCCCTCTTTCCCCCTCTCCCTCCCCCTCCCCCTCTCCCTCCCCCCCTCCCCACCCTCCCCCCTGCCTGTCCCCTGCCTCCCCCGTTCCCCGTTCCCCGTTCCCCTGGCAGCGCGGGTGCTGGAGGAGTGCGCTGCAGCATGGGACTTTTCGGGATGGGGCGGTTCGCCGAGCAATTGGCGCGTGGGGGGCGACTGTGACGCGGCAGATTACATTAAATGCGACGCCAACGGGTTCATCACTGATTTGAATCTCGACAGCACGCTCGTCGCTGATTCAGGATCTGATAACGGATATCAAGGAAGGCCGGATTACTGGTAGGAAGGAGATGTGGGGAGAGCGGATGTGGAAAGAGGAGGGAGGGAGGGAGGGGAGGGAGGGAGGGAGGGAGGGAGGGGAGGGAGGGAGGGAGGGAGGGAGGGGAGGGAGGGAGGGAGGGAGGGGAGGGAGGGGAGGGAGGGAGGGGAGGGAGGGAGGGAGGGAGGGGAGGGAGGGAGGGAGGGAGGGGAGGGAGGGAGGGAGGGAGGGGAGGGAGGGAGGGAGGGAGGGGAGGGAGGGAGGGAGGGAGGGGAGGGAGGGAGGGAGGGAGGGAGGGAGGGAGGGAGGGAGGGAGGGAGGGAGGGAGGGAGGGAGGGAGGGAGGGAGGGAGGGAGGGAGGGAGGGAGGGAGGGAGGGAGGGAGGGAGGGAGGGAGGGAGGGAGGGAGGGAGGAGGGAGGGAGGGAGGGAGGGAGGGAGGGAGGGAGGGAGGGAGGGAGGGAGGGAGGGAGGGAGGGAGGGAGGGAGGGAGGGAGGGAGGGAGGGAGGGAGGGAGGGAGGGAGGGAGGGAGGGAGGGAGGGAGGGAGGGAGGGAGGGAGGGAGGGAGGGAGGGAGGGAGGGAGGGAGGGAGGGAGGGAGGGAGGGAGGGAGGAGGGAGGGAGGGAGGGAGGGAGGGAGGGAGGGAGGGAGGAGGGAGGGAGGGAGGGAGGGAGGGAGGGAGGGAGGGAGGGAGGGAGGGAGGGAGGGAGGGAGGGAGGGAGGGAGGGAGGGAGGGAGGGAGGGAGGGAGGGAGGGAGGGAGGGAGGGAGGGAGGGAGGGAGGGAGGGAGGAGGGAGGGAGGGAGGGAGGGAGGGAGGGAGGGAGGGAGGGAGGGAGGAGGGAGTTCTGCGACTCCTAGGGGAGGGCACGCTGGGTCACCATGGCCACTGACATTTCGTCTCTGTGCTGTAGCTGTGCTTCACTCTTCTGCTGCTTCTGTGCCTGTTCGTGTGTGCGTGTGCGTGCCCGTGCGCGTGCGTGCGTGCGGGTGTGTGTCTGTGTGTGTGCTTGCTTGTGTGTGTGCTTGCTTGTGTGCTTACTTGTGTGTGCTCAACACAACACAACAGGCCGCCGCCATCTCTAATTGGATCCATCCCAACATCGCTTGGCACTCTCACCTCTCTCACCAGCATGTACATCTCACAGCTTTCTAAACGCCTCTCAGCTGTCTGTGCACTTCCCTCACCACTCTGTATACCGCTATGCCGCCCCAAAGCGAGACGTGCAAGCATATTGCAGCGCCTCCATGCCTTTACCACTCTCAAATCTCTTGTACCACTCTACATGGCTCCGTACGCTTTCACACATACTTGCTGTGTGATCTTTGAGGCATCTCCAGGCTACTTCTGTATCACGCATCTAGGGGACCCTGTGTAAGTGTGCCCTTTCCTGTCCAGCACCCTTTCAGACATACCCGCTGCGTGATCTTTGAGGCTTTTGTATCACGCACGGGACCCTGTGTGTGCACTTTCCTGTCCATCGGTAGCCCTTTCCAGCAGTATTCCTTTCCAGCAGTAGCCCTTTCCAGCAGTAGCCCTTTCTAGGCACTCCTCATCCATCTTCCCCGAATCACCTTGGGGGGATGAAGCGCTTAGAGGGTGAAAAGAGCATCTCTTCATCTGTCACAATATTTATTGTGTCTCACCCCATTCTCCATCTCTTTGTTTCTCACTCTTCAATCACCCTCTCTCTGCTGTGCTGCGACCATTTTCAGGCTCCTCACCAGCGGTATTCCTCCCTGCCTCTGCCCTCCATACTCCGTCCCCGCTAATTGCCCCATCCCACACCCTCTGTGCTGTCATCCTTTGTGTGCATCCACATCCTCCCTAGCCGTATACACCCCTTCGCCCATTCTCACCGTCTGTTTCTTTGATCCCCACTTTCTGTGTGCTGTGCTGCAACTCGCGCAGAGATATGTATCAAAACGCCATAGAGGGCTCCATCCCGGCATCCTTCAGCGCGCTCATCGCGCTCGTCTACCTGTATGAAGCGGGCGGACACGTGGAGGGCCGTGGGAGGGAGGGATGTCTTGAGGTTGAGAGGGAGAGGGGGGAAGGGAAGGGAAGGAGGGAGGGAGGGAGGGAGGGAGGGAGGGAGGGAGGGAGGGAGGGAGGGAGGGAGGGAGGGAGGGAGGGAGGGAGGGAGGGAGGGAGGGAGGGAGGTAGGGAGGGAGGGAGGGAGGGAGGGAGGGAGGGAGGAGGGGAAGGAGGGAGGGAGGGAGGGAGGGAGGGAGGGAGGGAGGAGGGAGGAGGGAGGGAGGGAGGGAGGGAGGGAGGGAGGGAGGGAGGGAGGGAGGGAGGGAGGGAGGGAGGGAGGGAGGGAGGGAGGGAGGGAGGGAGGGAGGGAGGGAGGGAGGGAGGGAGGGAGGGAGGGAGGGAGGGAGGGAGGGAGGGAGGGAGGGAGGGAGGGAGGGAGGGAGGGAGGGAGGAGGGAGGGAGGGAGGGAGGGAGGGAGGGAGGGAGGGAGGGAGGGAGGGAGGGAGGGAGGGAGGGAGGGAGGGAGGGAGGGAGGGAGGGAGGGAGGGAGGGAGGGAGGGAGGGAGGGATTGGGGCAGTGCAGCATGGGTCATTGGGCAGCACGGCATTGGCCAACGCAGCTTTGGTTGCAATGCTGCATTGAGAAACACATTAGTGGGCAATGCATCACTGGGAAGCGCAGCATGGGGCAGAGCAGCATGGAGCACAACAGCATGGGGCATCACAGTATTTGGCAGTCCAGCATTGGGCCTTCTCCCATACCCCACATGTCCCCGTCGCAGCGATCTCGCCTACAACCAGCTGTCTGGTGCCATTCCACCTGACATAAGCGCCCTCACAGCCATTGGACACCAAGCAACCATTGATCACCGAGAAACTGTCACCGAATATGTACTTCGTGCATATGCGGTAACAGTTGGTGCACGGGTGTAGATGCAAGTGTAGATTCAGGAGTAGTCTATTGTGGGACTACAATTTGAGGGCGAACATGGAGGGGTGGGAATCCAACGGATTAATCGGAAACCACTGGCCCTTGCGCGAGGCGCACATTGAGAAGTGTGCGACTGAGCCAGGCACAGGTAAATTCAGTAGCCTGCACCCTCTCGTTGCTTTTCTCCTGTTATTCTTCCACATTAGTGGAAGGCTGTCACCTCAGATCTAGCATCCGGTGGCATGCCACTATGGGAGGACCTACGGGGTGAGGGAGGAAACTCTTTCATAATAGGAGAAAAGGCGGTGCGTGTGCGAGTTATGGACGAGTACGAGCTGCGTTGGGCTTGTCGCGAGGAGGAACGGCCGTGTCAGGGCCGGATGCATGAACGTGGTCGCTCGCTGGAGCGGTCGCAGCGGAGGCCAGCATTCCGCGCGGATCAAGTTCCGTTCACGCGTGAACGACGCGGAGGCGGATTGGTTCGCGAAGGCGGAGACGGATCGGGATCTGCCATGACGGGCGGCGATCCGTGGCGGCTTGATGGATGACGAGAAGAGGGAGGCGGCGGACGACGTCGCCAAGATACGAGAGCGCCTAGCTCGCCGGGAGAAGGGCAGCGCCGTCGCGGTGGAGGAGACCGTGGGAGCACCTTGGAGGGCTACGCGTTTCGTGAACGAGGTTTTTGCAGTGAAGGAGATAAGGAGGAGATCTCTGCTGGCGCCGTCGAGTCTGTGAAGGCGAGGCGCGAGGAAGACGGGGCTAAGGTCGACGAGAATGGCGAGAAACCAGAGCGCCGACGTATGGAGGCGGCGACGCGACGCGATCCGACGGCAGAACCAAGCGCATCGAATCCAGCTCCGGCGCGCGACGAGGTGGAGCAAGGTGGGACGGAGGAAGGAGATCGTTCGTCAGATCAGCAGTCAGAGCTTGGCGACGACGACTACGGAAAGGATCCGGCGCCTGAGCCACGAAAGAAGCCGGGCGACATGACGCGTGAGCATGCGGAAGAAGAGCATCCTTCAGATCCGCGTCGGCAGGACGAAGAAAGGCGAAACGAGGGACCGGATGCGCCAGATCTGCATCGCATGCGCGGAGGAAGGCGAGGCGACGAGTCGCGCTCGTTAGATCTGCATCGGCCGGGAGGGTGATGAATCACGCTCGCTGGACAAGCATCGTCAACATAGGCGTGACATGTGGTCACCCTCGACAGAGGTAGATCTGCCGCATGGAAGCAGGCAGGATGTGCGTGAGAAAGCAAATCACTCATCAGAGCGGCAGCGGGGGAGGGCGGAGGTGCAACAAGATGTGCGCGGGGACGAGTTCTCACCAGAGCCGCGTAGGAAGAGCGGAGGAGGGCGGAACGGAGAGTTGCGCTCGCCTGATCCGCATCGGCAGCGCGGAGGAGGGTGGAACGGAGAGTTGCGCTTGCCTAATCCGCGTCGGCAGCACGGAGGAGGGCGGAATGAAGGGTCGCGTTCCCCTGATCCGCGGCAGCCGCATGACGGAAGGCGGGAAGGCGGGCCGCGCTCGCCAAATCCGTGCCAGCAACATGGCTGGAGGTGGGGAGGCGAGTCGCGTTCGCCAGATCTGCACCAAGAACGTGTTGGGAGCAGGGGAAGCGAGTACAGCTCGCTAGATTGGCGTCCGCAGCGGGATGAGAGGCGTAGGGGCGGGTCGCGCTCGCCAGATCAGGATCTGCGGCGAAGGCAGGGACGGAGATGGGAGGAGGAGTGGTGTCCGCAAGACAGTCGCAGGGGCATGGGGGAAGAAGGGACGAGAGATCCCCATCGCCCGAGTGGCACTGGCAGCGCGGAACGCAGATGGAAGGATGGGCGAGGGCGCATTACTCGCCAGAGCGGCGGTGGGGGCGAGAAGGAGCACGGATGAGTGCGGAGGACCGGCGAAGGGAGACGGGACAGGACCAGCGCAGAAGCAAAGGGGGAGGCGGCGGGCTGGCATACAGCACGGAGCACGCCAGAGAGGCAAGGGAAGGAATCGAGAAGGCAAGGGAGAGGGAGTCATCAAGAAGGTAGGCGAGAAAACTAAGGGAATCATGGGGAGACGGTCGGGGAAGCACGGCGATGTTTGCGCAAGTGGAGGTGCCGGCGCGATTCTCAGGAGATTAACGCACAGGGACCTCACTCAAGAACTACTTAATGCAAGTAGGGAATTTGAGATACAGGTGCGAGAGGAGTGGTATGGACTCGGTGGATTTCTTTCTGAGTCTGTCGAACACACTGGCAGGGGAGGCGGAAACGCTGTACAGAAAGAAGATGAATGAGTTGCCGGAGAGGGCAAGAAGGTACGGGGAAGACCCCACAGAAGCATTTCTGAAGCGGTTACAGCGGCAGTTTCCGGGGCACTCCGCGGAGAAGATAAGAGAATTTCAGGATTCCAGTAAGGGGTGGAGCGAGTCGTTGCTTACCTATTACAACCGGCTGATCAACCTGGCGGAGGATGTGACATGTGCAGACATGAGCCTTCTCGTTAGCAAGTTCCTGGATGGACTCGACAGCACCATGGGGAGCGGACTGCGGATGAAAGTGTACGAAATGGGGGCAGAAACGACGCTGGATGAAGTCTTTGAGTTGGTAGAGAGAATAGAGTTCGCACAAAGGAAGTATGAAGCGTATCGGCCCCGAACGACAGAGAGGAGTTGTGGACCGACACAGGCAGCAGCAATGATATCTGCAGACAAGGGAAGGTCAGAGGGACGAGGGGATGATAGGGCAGACAACAGGACCTGCTATAGATGCGGACTGTCGGGGCACATTTAGGAGAGATTGCAAGAACTGTGATTGCTGTGGGAAGCCGGGACATCTGAGGAGAGTGCCCAGATGCATCATGGTGTGAAATCGACAACAAGAAAGGACGAGAAGTGAAGGACGGCTACCAGCGGGTGGAGACAGCAAAGGGGAACCCGGAAGAGCTGGAACAAGAGCTCAACAGGCTACAAGCACAGCTGCAAGCACTCAGACCAAGGCGGGAAGCAGAGGCAGGAACGAGCACCAGGGATGAGGATGACGGGGAAGGGGAGCAGGATGTGCAACGCGCGTTCATGGCCTGGGGGGGAAGGGCAGGGCTGGGACTACAGAGTGGAGGGAAGGACGGCCAGCAGGAGCACTGGCAAAAGGGAGGAGAGAAGGGACAGCAGGCAGAGGAGCAGACACCGAAGGACGTTGTGGCTCGCCACCCGCAGGACGGGCTGGTAAGCCAGACCTCAGCACTGGTGGTGAGCAATGGGGCGTTGGCAATGGAGGAGGAGAAGGTCAAGACGGTGATCACAGACACTGGAGCACGGAGCAGGATGTTGGGTAAGGTCATGGCAGAAGAACTGGGGCTGATAGCACCAGAGAAGCAGGTAGCGGAGGGGATGGTTGTGACGATGGCAGAAACGGGGGACCTTGAGTGGATGTCAAGTACTCGCGCTCCGACTGAACTGACACTATCACCAGGGAAGAAACAGGGGGCACGGGAGGGCATGCTAGCAGTAGCGGAAGCGGAAGGCAAGGCAGGGAAGGCGGGGGCACAGGCGTGCACACCAGGAGTAGCAGAAGCGAAAGGGAGGGAAGAGAAGGTGAGAGCACAGGCGTGCGTACCAGTAGTGGCGGAAGCGGAAGGGGTGAACGAGAAGGTGGGGGCATGGGCATGTTCTCTAGTGACAGCGAGACCGGAAGGGAAGGACGGGAAGGTGGGGGCACAGGCGTGCACATCAGCAGTAGCAAAAGCGGGAGGGAAGGATGAGCGATGGGAGGCACGAGCGTGTGTATCAGCAGCAACACGAGCGGAGGAACGGAATGAGCAGGTGGAGACAGAAGCGTGTGTATTAGCGGCATCGAGAGCGGAGGAACGGGATGTGCAGGTTGGGAGGAAAGCAGGGACAGCAGCGGTCCCACAAGGAGCCAGGTCCTGCATGGGAGGGGAGAATCCAGGGTGGAAGGCGGAGAGACAGTGAGCGCAGAAGGGAAGGATGTGGTGTTGGCAATGCTAGCGAAACACAGGAGGTGCTTTGCCTTACAGGAGGTGCGTAAAGGCACGGTAAAGCAGAGGGAGCTGAGGCTGAGCAGCAGCAAGTTCCACGGGAGGAGGAAAATGCCGCTGGAGGACGAGATATGCAAAAGGAAAATTAGGGAGGTGCTGACACAGCAGGTGGCGCTGATTGAGACCAGGGGGAGTAGGAAACCAGCGACCATCTCGAGGGATGAGCAGACCATGAAGTGGCTGAAGGGGGAAGCTGCAGAGAGAGTGAGAGTGAGGGGGGGACACCACTACAGGTGGTATCAACAGGAGCTGCAGATACAGATGGAGGACAGATGGAGGATGATATCCGCACCAGGCGAGGGGAAGCCAGTAATCAAAGAAGGGCACACCAAGGAGGGGCGCGTTGAACACGAGAGAACGGTGCAGCTGTTGAAGAGGGAATGGTGGTGGGAGGGAATGCGCAGGCAAGCGAACGAGGGGGTAGAAAGTTTTGAGGCAAGGTGGAGGAGAATGAAGGAGGTGCGTGGATCTGGGGTGCTGGTGCTGGAGAATGAGAAAGAAGTACCGGAGAAGGCGCATCAGTGCAACACGGCAGTGGTCAGAGGAACTAGGCCTCAGCAGCATGGTCCTGTGACCCGAGCTCAGGCAGCTCGAGCACGGGCACAGGAGGGGGCAGGTAGTGGCTGAGGCTAATCA